TTTTTTATTCAATTCAAAGTTTGAAATCAAGCTATCTCGTGCTACTGCACCACAATTACCCCACTGTAAAATAAAAAAAAAAACACTTTTTTTTTCAAAATTTGTGAGATAGCTAGTTATAATGGTAATTAAATAATGTTTACATATGTATAAAATCCTACATTAAAATCTGTCATATAAATTGGTCTCTTTAATAGAAATTAGCCTACTGATTGCCACCATTGATGGACAGATTTTTTTAATAATATTAAAAATATCTGTATGACATTATATTCTGCAGTTCTTCCCTGCTGTACCAAATATCTATACTTTTCAAATTATCATATCAAAGTTAGAAATTCAAATATTGTGACAAAATTAATTTTGTAGGGTGCCACAAGTTTGTTAAAATTTCCAAAGGGTGCCGCGACTAAAGAAAGGTTGGGAAACACTGCTCTAATTCACAATGCAGATAAAACTGTAAAAATGTTCTTGATCTGATTTGACTGTATAGGTGTAATTTCACAATACATGTTGTACTGATTGAACCAGTTGAGGTTGCGCTCTAAAGGCCTCATAACACACAGATCCATTACAAATCAGCCTTTTTCTTTCATCTTTTTCCCTCACTTTCCCTCATCCTGACCCTTTTGCTCCGGGTGTAATGGGAAACTAGATAGTGCCAAGGTTTAATTCCTGCCAGCATCTGTTTAATTATGACACTTACTGTTCTAATTAAAACAGGCACCTATGTACCTCGGAATCTTCACACCGGCTTTGCGATGGCTGACGGTAGCATGTGACATGGAGCGTTTCTCCATCTGAATCCCAGTCCACAAGAGCTTTAGAGAAAACCATGTACAATACAGAAAGAAAAACAGCTTAAACCAGCCTGAGGTGGTTTGCCGGTTTTATCTGACCTAGTTTGATGTTTTAGAATGGTTTGGGGAGACTAACTAAACCAGCTGAGACTAGCTTCAGCATGGACATTTTCCCTCGTCATGAGCAAAACTAGACCATTTTGTATTTAATCTATTTAACGTTAGTAACATTAGCATTATATTCCAGATTTGTTGGCATGACAATTTCAGCAACAAGACTGTGACAAAGAATGAGAATATGCCTTTGTTTAGCACTAAAGTTATGTCCTTTAGGTATTTTGTAATGATATGCTTGTTAAGTCAAACCATTTGGGCCAGATTTAAATTATATTTACAGTGCGTTTAGTCAATCCAATCTTTAGCATAATTCAAAATCATTTTATCTCGCTCCCCACCGTCTGTAACTATCAATAAAAATATTAAAATTGTAGTTAGGAGAAATTAGATTTTACTGCGACTTAGCAACCATCAAATGATCTCCCGGAGTTTGCGAGGAAGAGTAGGACCACGGGGACCAGCGGGTAATTAGGTTAGTGGGTTGTCAGAGTCAGGAAATTGAAAGACAATCCTAATCAGATTTCTGTTTCTAGGGAATCAAATCATTTGTATAAGGAGAAGAAATCTCCCGATTTGGCTTCTAAAAAGATAATGCAGTTTGTTGTCGCTGCTCTTTGTTGCACTTTTTGTGTCATATTTGATGAAATAGACATTATAATTCAGATCAAATGCAATTAGCAGTTCATATTCTGAAGTTGTACATTTCTGGGAAACGTTGAAAATGCAAAGCGTATACAGTCAGATGAACGTTCTTAAGGCTGCGGTCACTGCATCTGAGTTACGCTGTCCGTAAATAACGCAACAGTGTCCTGCGCTTACGCCGCTGCTCTCATTTGTCGGCTGATTATGGGTGCTAAATGGACCTCCTTTCCTCCACTCAGTGTTTTTCTCTTCTCCTCCGTCCCTGTGCTAATCTCACACTCTATAATGTTCAATAAATAGGGAGCAGGGAGAATTGCGGGAGTGTAATTTGCTGTAGTGGCACACAAACCTCCTCTGACACAGTAGTTGTAGAGGGATGAAATCATTTAGCCGCCAGGGAACTTTAACTGGTTGCTCGTTTTTTTTTTTTTGATTAACTATAGTATGTGATGACAGAGTTGTATATGTTCTTAAAAAGCAATATTAGTATAGTACAATAACAATTTAGATATTTTTAAGCAATTATCTATATAAATGGTCTGTGACTTACCATTTTCACTCAGAAATTGCTAGTAAATTTCACAAATAATTGCAAAGAGAAGCAAGTAACACTTGAATTAGAAAGATTGAAATAGTTTTTGTACAATGTACAATGAAAAAATAACTTTTTTTTACAGTGTCATAACCATGACATGTGAGCCCCAAACAAATATAAATATACTGTTTTAGTTTTAAAAAATCCTTAATTGTATGTCCTATTAATATTTAGCAATAAATAAATAAAATGTAAAAAAATAACACTAAGGCTGCTTCATTTAACGTGTGATGTGCAAAATGGGGTTATTTTGTCAACAGTAAGATTTTCTGACTATGGTAAACATTCAATAGATGGAGCTGAAAATGTCATTTTGTGAGAAAATAAAAACAGAAAATGCTTAACATACTAATCCAAAATAATTGATTTTTGGTTTGCATGTACAGTATAACCTCCATCTGTCAGAAATAGATTCAAATGCAGTCATTTTCACTGTGAATGAATAACCAAACAGGTCAAGTATTACAGGTTTAGGAGTGGTGAGTAATGTACAAATGTAAAAGCATTCTTATCAAATAATTGGCTAATAAATAAAGTGTTAGTGTGGCGTTTATAGCGTGTGTGTTACAAACATGCTAAACTTCAATAATATTTGTGTGATTTAGGTACTTATATACATATCTAGTGTTTTACGGTGGAAAGTGGCCAGTTTTGTGGCTGATGCGTATATAAGTGTGGTGTGGTTGCTGTCGTTAGCGTTCTCGGCGGTGCTGCTGATAAGCTAAATAATGAGAAGGTCCATCTGTGAGTTCATTGACCCCGTGTTAAATATTCATCTGTTTAGATGTGCGGCAGCCACTCAGTGTTCACATATGGAGGCCTGACACCTCCGTCACACGCTGAGAGCGCAGCAGCTCGTCCCGCTGATCCCTCGCTCCCTCGCTAGCAGGCTTGTATGTTTTTGTGTTGGTGAATCTGTCAGCTCTTTACTCGGTTTAAATTTCCCTTAAAGGAGAAATGATTTATTTACACGCTGATACTGTTACTATAGAGGCTTGTTTGTGTGTGTGTGTGTGTGTGTGTGTGTGTGTCAGAAAAATCCCACAAAGCAAATACTAGCACCATTGCAAAGGAATATTAAAATAGTACATATTTTACACAGATTAGCACAGATGCAATAGAAATCTTCCCAATTATTTCACTTGAATGAATTATTTTATTTTATTGGTTAATGTGTGTTTAATATCTTTCAGTGTTATTTTTGTATCATTGAGATACTATTATAGTTTATAAAATATTATAAAATTGTTTTTTATTTTTATATTTTCTGTTTTCATTTTAGTTAATGTTTTAGTAATTTTGTTATGTGTCATATTTTTTATGTTTTTTAGTTAATGCTTTAGTAATTTTGTTGTGCGTTAAGTTTTTTTAATTTTTAATTTTATTTCAGGTTTAATTTGTTTAGTACATCAAAAACTAAATGAAAATAAGAAAAGCTGCCTTGGCAACTAGCTAAAATAAAATAAGTTTAAATTTTTTAATAAATGTTTTATAGCAGTTAAAGTGTATTTTATGTCAAGTAAAATTATTTTTTGAAAGTACTGTATGTGCTTTTTCATTAATCAGTCAACAACAACAAAACAAAAAACATCAGTAAGTCCTGATAGATGATTGTAAACAGTAAAGTAACAATTTATTTGACTTTTATTTACAGTAATGTAACAATGCTTTGAAATCTGCGATTTTAAAAATGACATTTTTTAAATTAAAATTGTGCCCATGTCTCCTACAAGCCTGATGTAGAACAATAATATTAATATTGTATATCAATAATATACTCTTATATTATTATGTTGCATTATATCATGTACCAAATGCTGAAGTTGTGTCTGTATGATGACATGCTTTAAATTCTTTGTGTTGCAGAACTTTGACACTGACGTAATCGTTGCAATCATCTTTAAATGGCTTTGGTTGCTTGATTTCTCACATCACTCGGCATATGTTCAGTAAAAAAAAAAAAAGTTTATGCTCTTCAAACTCAAAACAACATTTTGTTCACAGATGCGATGAAATGTGTATTGATTTTAAAGTGTGTTTATGTGTGTGATGTATTGTTTGTGCTTGATCAGGTGTTCGGCTAGATCGCGTACGAGGAGGCCGACAGAAATACAAGAGGAGAATGGATGCAGGAAACACAGCCTACCTGGGGCTCACACTGCCACCGCCAGCCAAAAAACCCTGTGAGGACACACACACACACTCACACACACACACACACACACACACACACACTAACACA